TTTTCCATAGTTAGGCGGTTTTTCCCACGGAGAAAAGCGACTTAATTGCCCCCTTGGCATAACGCATTGAGCAATGCTTTTTAATAAGGCCGCGATAATTGCCGGTTTGTTCACCTATCGTCATATCGCGAGTTTTGCGTTATGCGAAAATAGTCACGTGTTCATTATATCCAGGACTCATCTTGAAAGTCCCTCCACCATTTTGTACAATACCATGCAAATTACTTAAAAGGGGCGATACAATTTCATTTTGATCTTCAGAGATTATTCGATCGGGTTAATAATTATTTCTAAGAAGTAATGATTTTACGAGGAAATTTCTACTGAACCCGAGTGTTCATTTTATCTTTTTTTCCAGCAACAAGTTGCAGTACGAGTGCAATCGAGGTTACTACCATTGTCTCTTCAAGATCGATCCTTTCACACCAGTGGGGGACACGTGAGAAGATTAACGTATAAAAGGGCCTCTCGGAATCGTGGAAACACACTCAGTTTTTTTCCAGCGCATTGTGAGGGTTTTACGTCCCCGGAAAATATTTTTTCAGTACACTTGAGTAGTTCGAGTTCATCGATAATGACGTGGATAAAAGTTTTCCGATTTTTGCCGCTTTTAGTGGTGACTTCTCATGCTTACCCAGGTATTTATATCCGTTAATATAATATGCATTCAATCCGAAGTTTACAAATTAAAGATTAATGGATTTTGGTACCACTTAATTAGAGTACAGAGTTAATGCAATTTGCAGGTCCTGGGAACACCCAGAGTGTAATTCTCTCTAGAGTATACACCGATTCCGTTTCGAGTGAAGTAACCACCGCCATTCCGAAAATCGCCGATTCCGAAATAATCGGATCTCGTCAAAAAACCGGCAGCCATGGAAAGATAAAAAATGCACCGGCTCTCAGTACCGTCCAATTCGCAAGTAACCCTCGATTTACCGAAAACCGAGAAACAGGAGAAAACTCCGAAAACAGATCCGGCAATAATTCCAGAGCCGTTTCTTCGGCATCGAATTCGGAAAACTCTCAAAATGAGGAAACCGAAACTCAAACGGAAACGGTTACTCTAGAGAATAGAACGCAGGAAGTTCCAAAATCGAAAATTCTAAAAGCTCCGGAAAATGCGGATAACGAAGGGCGTCGCTTTCTTCGACATCGTCATCATCAACGTCAACATTTTTATTACGATCATCGTCCAGCAGAGAATGATGGCGATGAAAAGGACTCTCAAAAAACCCAAAAAGTATTTGAAGAAACTGGAGACTTCGATGCGGGAAGAGGAAACGCGTCCGCGGGAGTTGCCGGTCGGCAAAAATCGGAAAAAGAAACTGAAGGAAACGCTAATGGCGGAGTTGGTGCCGACAGGATATCCGGTGAGGATGATTATGGCGAAGATGTCCAGAGACCGCAAAACGCCTTCGAAGGATTTTTCGAGGGACTCGATGACGTAAAAAGTGGCACGGATATCAGCAATCGCGGTAATGGCGGAGTTGCTCGCGCTTAAAATTCATATAAACATTCTTTCCTCGTCCCCAAAAAATATATTTGTCACTCCCCTTTATAATTTCAATAAAAATGTAATTTGTCGTGAACGAAGAATTTTGGACTTATTAAACGACTTCACACCCTTTTCTATGCTAATAATTAATTGTCTACGTATATGCAACGCCTCTCGTTTCCAGTTAAAAAACGCAATATGCATGATTAAATGGAACTTCCTGAAAGTACTTTCGGGTAATTGAGATTTTTAATTTTACGACGCGTAGGTGAAAGTGCGCCACTCGTCAAAAGTGTTTGCGGACATTTTTGCCAGTAAAATAATTAAGGTCGTTGTAAATCACCGAGGGGTAGAAATTTTGTGGAGCGTGCTTGTTGAAAAAAAAAAGAACAAATTCATGAATGCAGTTACCTCGTGTATAAAAGGCTTCTACGAATTCCTGCAAAGCATCTGTTGGTCAGGATTGTTGCAAGATGAAGACAACGTTGGTCCTCCTCGTAGTTTGCGCGGTGCTCTTCAGCGCCTGCAATGCCGGTAAAAATTGTTGTAATAATTAGTATTATCGATAACACCGTTGTCAATGCCAAATTAAAAATTCCCATTCCACTTATCAGCAACTGAGTGTAAATGCATATTTACTTACTGCACAGATGATTGCGACAAGAAGAAAGGAGGCGGCGGCTGTCTGAACGTCGAAGAAGCTGCTGAAGGCCAGGCAGAATATGGAGCAGATTCAAGCTTCCCCATGAATATTGCAGGATACGAGCGGACAAGAAGAGCTATTATGAAAAAATAAAGTAGTTAGAAATTGGATTTTGTCAGCTGTACACAAAAAACGCTTTCCGACTTTTCCAGCTTGAGTGTTTATAACTTAGGCGACGACGTCAAATGAATCGGATCCATTTTGAAAATGGAATTCCAATAGATAAGAATAAATAATACCAGTGTCATGTACAAGATGTTGATAGACTTAATAAAATTGTTATGATTCCATAAGCAATTTGTGTCGCTTGTTTCGAAATACCCTTACGACTCCCTTTTGCGTTTCAGCGTTCAGTAAAAAAAGAAAATGATTTTCTTCGTGATCCAGTGTACGAGAACTTCGGAAAACAGATTTGCCGTAAAATTCATTGAATTTAATAATTTGCTTATTTACTGATACGCAAAATTCACCATGACAAATGTTGTTCCTCGTCGTCAATCGATATTCAGTCTTTGCATGTAATCGACGTTTCTGTACTCGCTATTACGTAATAAATAAATAAATATTCAAAATGATTATAATTGCATCTTTGTGCATTCCTTCCCCGACAAGTTCCTCCGATTTGATCAATACTCGAGTTGTGCAAGGATAAAAATTGCACCAACCATTTTTCAGAATTCTTTGTACTTCTCCGGACTGAGTAAATTACTGAAATGTTTATAATCAATATTCAACATTCGCCCGACGTCAGATGCGACAGGTCGAAAGATCAACATATTCATAGACAATTTTGAAAAACTGACAGCTCTGTCAAGTACTCCATTTAAATTCTACGTAAATTCTTGCGAATTAAAAAATTGCGAAATTTACGATCCTCGTTCGCCCAAACTGCTGAGTGCACGTGACAAGTCGTTAAAATTATTGTCGCCAAAGTTAACGATCTCTTGAAATTTTTCCTAACATCGTAATTCCGCGGAGCGCGTTTTTCACTTTAAAAATTACTAATTGTCGTTTTAGACGAACGAAAATACGCATTCCAGTTTCCTGAAGCATCGGGTTAACTTCGTTATGAATATTCTGGGGGTTTTTAAATTTGTACAATATGCAACTAAAAATCTAAAATGAAGAGAGGGAACAGTCGAAACTTGGGTATAAGAGGCTGTCGAAAATCCATCCTAAGCATCAGTTCTCTCTAGCATCCCTGCAAAGAAATCCTCCAAGATGAAGGCAACTTTGATCATCCTCGTCGTCTGCGCAGCTCTCTTCAGCGTTAGCAGCGGTAAGAATTCGCCAACCACTATTATTAAAATAAATCTGTGGAATGTTTGCAACGCCGAATTACGCTAAATATTGAACGATAAGGTACAATGACTTTTCATAACGTTAACAGCTGCCGATGACTGCAAAGATAAAACGTACTTATCGGCAGTAATAGAGGACGTCGGATATGCAGGTGCGGGTTCTCCTGCCGAGCCCTGCGGAAGTAAAAATGCAGAAGACCCAGCATTCGTCGGTGGACGATTCTTCAAGAAGTGATACGGTAAGAAATCCCAAGAAATTTCCCCATCACCCAAAAACCCAGCGTCAGAAATTTCACAACCTCTTACCCGAATTTTAATATCTAATCGCAGGATACCTCCTCGTTCGATACGGAAAAGAATGGCGAATCATTGTAGGAAAAAGCAACGTCTTGTACAACCTGGTTATCGAGTTAATAAATATATTCTAGAGTCATAGAAGCAATTACTGGCGTTTACTTCTCGAAGAACCACCTCGTACCTTTACGTCACTCCTACTCACTCCGTGTTTAAATTTATTTATATCTTAACGATTAAAAAATATTCCCTACTTAAAGAGAATACTTACACCATATAATTTCGATAATAAAATCAAATCTCCGATGGTCTCTTCATTTACCGGCTAATGATGTGACTTTAATAGACTGTAATTACCAGCAGTCGTGTTTACCCCGCAAAGTCTGCATACGCCGCTGAAGATGGAGCCACTTGTAACACTGGTATAGTCGCATCCTCCTCTTCCTTAATTTTCAATTAAAGCGATAAACAATATTATGCAATATATACAAGTGCGGGTAAAACCGATTTTCTGAATACACACTTTTTCGAGTGAAGGAATCCACAACGGGTTATCAAGACATTTTTTATTCCCGTTCTCGCTTTGACAAGGTAATGTACTATTATTATTTTCCCCGTTTCGTAACCGACTTTTCTGAATGAAGCTTTCGGGAATATATTTCTCAACTCGTGTTCGCCGAGCCAAAACGGATCGCACTTCGTTATCGCCAGTAAGAAATACTTCCGCCAATTACAAGGCTGATCGTAATTAACATGCTTTTAATAGGAAGACGCTCATTAATCATCTCGCGCCCCCAATACCCTTAATGACCGTCATTAAAAAGTCGTTCAAGCCAATGTACCTGTCACACAATAATGGTAATAAAATGGTGTTCTCGTCGCGATGACCTGAAAATATAATTTAATGGCTCTCAAATTTGAGATGCGCAATTTTGCGCCGAGTTGTGTAACCGGAAAATGTTTATAAATAATAGTTGACACGTATAGTGGCGGAGATCAGGGTCAGCAAAATCTAAGACTTATTTTAACGCCACGGGTCACGTTTAGCTATAGAGTCAGGGTCACTGATAAGATGAAGGAAGAGTCTGGATAGAGAAAATCATTGACTTGCAAATCGGTCGACTTTCAATGCTCAGCCACGATTTTCTCTAATAAGGAGGTAAGGAGATCATTGGGACATCGGGAAATCATTAACTCAACCACGTTTCTTATCACAACGGTAATCGTTTATTAACCTTAACGCTTATCATAATGCAACGTCGACATAAGTATGTACATCGCAAAAGCGGTGGATAGTGTCTCTCGTGATCAGAAAATCTTCCTGTAATCTCATTCGTTACTACGGATCATCCTTCGGGATGATAACAGGGAGATGACTCGAGGTCATCCTGCCCAAGGTGCGCATTAATTACAAATCGTCACAATTGTCCGTGGTAAAAAGATAAAAGAGGGAAGCGATCTCGAAGACGAGGCTTCCGTTTTGAGGACAAGAAAAAAAAATAGAAAAGAAAAGTTAAAGCGCAGAAATGCCATTTCTTGACATTCGCGACAGATTTCGATGACGAAGAGGACTTTTCTTCGATTCTCCAATTTCTCTCACTTAGGACTCATTCTCTTGCGGGGGAAAAATTACTGGATTTTTCCGGCACTGACTTTGTAGGTTCCTTTCCCGGTGGAGTCGATATTGGCAGAACTGCTGCTGTAAACTCCTTTGGCACCTGTCACGCTGCCGCTCTGGTTGGCACCCTCGTCGACGTCGCCCATTCGAGAGAAGATGCTGAAGAGACAAAAAAGAGAATTAGTGGTCAAGAAAAAAAAAAATTAGTAATTTCGGCCGAAGAAAAATTTAACGTATTTTTCAGGATTGGGGACTAAGTGTGAACACGAGGAGCACTTTTGTCTCTGTGGATGGGCAGGAATTGCGACGCGAGGAGATCCACCGAGGAGATCGGCACGACCAGTATAGTGGGATTGTAAATGGCCTGGAGGGACTTTTTTTAGGCTGGAAGAAGTTATCCTTGGGAATTAATTCGACGTCCAGAGCCGGAAAGGACGTATTCTTAGTCTCGACTTATACGAGGAACGTCATCCTCAGGTATTACCGCAGATCGCGGCAAGGTGACGGGTCAGACATTTTTCCGATAGGAAGGTTCGTGGAAAATGGTAAATTAGGAGTCATTACGACCTCCCGATGGCTATCGAGTATCACGAAAAACGACCGACAGAAAGCGGGAAATTTACCCGGCTAATTGGCTTGGGAAAAATCATCAGGAAAAATCGCTTGCCTTGGAGGAGTTCCCTTATGAGACGGGTCGGAGTGATTTTAGCGGGATTATCTCCGCGTTTTAAGCGAATTGGGGAATTATTAATAAGCATGCTTTTTGCGTAACGGTATCAGGATAGTTACTCGAATCCTCCAGGAGCTCCGCCGTATCCTCCAGGAGCTCCGCCGTATCCTCCAGCTCCCGCTCCAGCGTTCGCGTTTGCATTCGCACTGGCGCTGCTTTGGGCACCTGCGTTTCCACCCCCGAAGCCGCCTCCAAATCCACCTGTTCCACCTCCTACACCCCCGTGTCCACCTTGAAGACCGCAGGCGCCTCCTCCACAGCCTCCATTTCCACTTTGAAGACCGCAGGCGCCTCCACCGCACCCTCCAGCTCCACCTGCGAGTCCACCTCCGTGTCCACCTCCGAGTCCACCTCCGTGTCCACCTCCGAGTCCACCTCCTCCTACACCTCCATATCCACCACCTCCGAATCCTCCAGCACCAGCTCCAGCATTGGCGTTACTGGATGCGGATGCCCCAGACTTCGATCCTGCACCCGCACCACCGAGTCCACCTCCGGCTCCTCCACTTCCACCCCCGAATCCTCCAGAGCCACCTCCAAATCCTCCCGAACCACCCCCAAATCCTCCCGAACCACCCCCGAATCCTCCGCTTCCAGACCCACCGAACCCTCCACTACCCCCATGGCCGACTCCTCCAGCTCCTCCATGACCACCTCCAAGGCCTCCACCGAGTCCACCTCCCTGTGCACCCCCGAATCCTCCGGAATTCGCCCCGGATCCTGCGTAACCTCCCGATCCTCCATGACCACCCCCGAAGGATCCACTGCCTCCGAGACCGCCGACACCTCCTTGACCGGTGCCCAAACCGCAGGAGCTGCCCCCGCAACCCCCTGCTCCACCGTGACCTCCTCCCAATCCACCCCCGTAACCTCCTCCCAATCCTCCAGCCCCACCGAGTCCTGTAAAAAAAATGAAAAATAACATCCGATAAAAAATCCTGATAGATAAATGCACGTACCTCCAGCATTGGCACTGGATCCAGTCTTCACGACGCCGACGCCGCCACTTCCAGCACCCGCTCCTCCTGCTCCAGTACCCCCTGCTCCGAATCCATCACTGGCACCATCGTAGCCTCCGTAACCTCCATGGCCACCTCCGAATCCTCCGGAACCACTGTGACCGCCGCCGAATCCTCCGGACCCGGAATGGCCACCTCCAAATCCGCCAGATCCACCATGGCCTCCACCAAACCCACCGGATCCGGAATGGCCGCCTCCATATCCACCACTACCGGTTCCCAGTCCGGCACCATGGCCTCCTAAGCCACCCCCGTGACCTCCAGCTCCAGCTCCACCTCCACCTCCACCATGACCTCCGCCGAATCCGCCGAATCCACCGTGACCGCTACCCCCGTAGCCGCTGCCGAATTGCCCGTTGTCGAATGCGAAACCTCCGCCTCCGGAATTGGCACTTGCAGTCGATTTTGCAGATGCAGATGCACCTGCTGTGGCTTGGGAATTCGAGCTCGAGAAACTGCCTCCATTACCGAAGGCGTTTGCGCTTGACGAACTGCTGGCGCTGCTGAAGGCGCTCGAAGTACCCCCTACGCCTCTTCTTGAACGCGTTCCCGTGACATCATAGGGTACCCCATTGCGGTACGCGTAGAAATCTGAAATTTTTTCAAAGGCTTAGATATGTGGCTTCGTGAAAAAAAATTCCAGATACAGTAGAATGGACGTAGGATGGGAAAATAAAATGGTTTTCCCGCCGCCTCGTGGCCGCGTCTCGCTTCCCACGCGTTGAAGTCACCCCGCAGGGTACCCACGATACAAGTAGAATTATTAATTTTTTATCAAAGTGTCAGACCAATATTTTCGAACGATTCATTAAGCTACTGTTTATTCACCAATTCAACTCGTGATGTTGTTTAATCCGCGTTTAAAGGACGTTGCTTGTCGGTGGAGGGGGTAATTATCGATAAATGCTATTATTAGGACTAAGTAATGTTAGCTCCGGAATTGCAGCGGTTGTCCCATTGACATTGACATTAATCTCAATAATGCGGCATCATCCCAGCCTCGACAAGTTCAAGCGATAAACATCGTGAATATTTAATGGCAACAATAATCGAGTACGTAATGCATTTATGTGAGTCATGAGTTAAAAATGGCCGGCTGGAAAATTTAACCGATGCGGTTAAACATTAACATCCTTAACGTTCCACGTCTCCATGCATTATTCAACAAAGGAGTTGGGCGACAATTTGCATGATCTCCCCATTTAATCTACGAAACTGCTCCGTTATTGCCGATCAAGTATGACGATTAAATATTTATTAAAATCCTTCCTCAAATCTCTTAACTAATGGTACCCTGCGTGGGCAATCATTTTACAATTGTCCCAGGGAATCCCGATGCAAATCACATGCAATCTCGATAATTACCGACAATTAATACAATGACTCTATCCTTAAAATCGAAGCACTGGCTCATTGAACACCGAACGACATTCAGAACTCCAGGACGAGCAAACTCGATAAGACGTTAAAATTTGTTAATATTTATCTGGATTTTAATTGCATGATTAATTTTTCTTAGGGAGGAATTACGTGTTTAAAAATACAATCTGAAGGTAGATGACTGTTTACCTGCCGCGGAGGTACTTAGGACCAAAAAGGCCAGGAGGCCGATGATTGCCTGATAACGTCTCATGACTGCCTATCACGGACTGTGCTCATCATTCGCTCGTCGCTCGATTTTATAGCGTATCTTGCCCTGGGCCCCTTCTTCGGCTCTTCGGATGATGACGCTTTGCTTGCTGACCAAAGCCAACAGGAATAACGTGACGAGGAGCCAAGGTTGGGGCGAGAGACGTGCGAGCCTCGAATCATTCAGGATTTACCATAATCCTTTGGCTTTGGGAATCTCCAAACGGCGGATTTTTCATCCCCAGCGACGCCTCGAAAATAGCGTTAACGCTAACAATAAGAAAGAGCTCGAGCGGATTTTCCGTGACGCCTCCACTCGGAAAAGCCAAAAGGATTTTCAGTTCCCTATCGGCAGCGCTTTTGCGAAACGCTGATAGTAAACTGAAAATCAGCTGACGAGGACTCAAGGCGAATTCTGATAACCCCGAGAGGCTGAATTCCCGGTCGATAAATAATTCATAATGCACGGAATGTTATGAAAATATTTTCGGGCCGGATTAAAACGAGTAACGTGCACGGTTCACCGACAATTACATATTTCATCAGGCGTTCATCCACTACAAAGTCCATTCTGAATTCCCGACATTAGGTCATCGCGTGCGCTTCTTTAAGGAACTTGGCTCTCCCAGGTCGTAAAAAAGTCACGTTTGACCGGTACAATAAATAAAAAATGACGATTGCTCGCAAGGATGCCTTCTGTGAGAAGGTAGTCTAAATGGAAATTCAACGGGGATCTAAGGATACATTATTTCATTATGGAATAACAAATGCAACGGTACGTTCAATGGTACAGGATTAACGCTCGTTCCGGTTTACTTAACCGATGGAGATGTATACCGATACGAGTAATCAGCTCGTTAGAAAATCGGCTAAAAAAATAGCGGGGATATTTCTCCGTATTTCACATGTCCGGGAATTGTTTATCCTTATTACCGGGTGGTCGGGAAAACCTGAGACCAGCCTCTTTTAGGCATGTAAGGGTAATTAATTATTTCCTTGTGCGCTTTTTATACATAGGTTGGCGCGTCCACCTGTACCCGGTATTGTCGGAGAGATACGTCAAGGCTATCAAGTCATCAGACATAGTTCAGTCACTCTGCCCCGCTACATTTTGCAGCCGACATTGTGTAACAAAAAATCCAGCACGTTAATCGATCACGTAATCCGTCCGAGAGTCTTTCCTTCGTTTTTTGAGGAGGCCGGGTAAACAAAGAGAAAATTAATGCGTCGGCGTCGAGCGACCATGCAATGCGTAGGGTGAAGTGCGTATTAGAAGAGCTTCGCGACTGGCGAGGAGATATAAAAAATGTTAATAATTTTTCTTATCTCCAGGAGCGAAGCTTCGTTTAATATCGAAGAGATTAATTGTCTTCGAGGAGTCTTGGTAGAGTCATGGCGGACCTTCGACCGTCTCTTCCTGAACATCTAACGGTGCAACGCAAGTTGGAAAAATATGCGAACTACTTAGGTATCATCAAACTCGTTTGTCAAGGAAATCCTCCGCGATCGACTTTCACGTGCGTTAAAAAAATCCGCTATCTCGAATCTCCCGTTTAAATGGCCGCGCGCGTTTCGAGAAGCATTTTCACCCGATGAGAATCGTGCCCCTGGGAAAATCAGAATTTTCCTGGGTTTTAAATATATACAGAATCAAAGAAAATAATTGATATACCTGGAAGTAACAAGAAAGTTCGGACCGCGTTACCGGGCGAGATCTAGTCTAGTCTTTAATTGAAAACTCGAGATCTAAAGATACACTTCTGTAACGAGTGATAACGAATCAATTTCGAATCCATTAAGGCTCCGCTATTCTTGCGCTGGGAACTCGCAGATTTATGGGTCCTGCGGCTCTAACTACGTATATTATCCATTCATATGCGTACGTGTCTACGTAATTGCGAAGTCAAAGGAAGTGGTCCACGCGTCCGCCATAACACGTTCTACATTAACGGCTACGCGGGAATTGCGTCACCTGCAAACCTATTTTCCATCTGCTCAAAGACGGTCATAAACTAATTTCTATTTACGCTGTCCAACAAAACGGGATGCTTAGACTCTATAATAAAATTAACGTAACGATCTATCCGCATTTCCGAATGGTAGAGCCGTCTACATTTCTCCTTATCGGGATGAATCCTCGCCGCGGAAATTCACAAAAGTCGAGTTTTACCGGACGCGCATTTTTTATTATCGGTTCCTTGAAGATATACCCCGGGGTTGTCCCGTCGATAAATAGCCGATTACGTGTATCGTTGCGGGCGATTACGTTATAGAATCTCCCGACACTCTCATTGTCAATCATGTCATGCTAATGAAGCTCGTGAGAACCATTAGAGCCGCGTATTTCTCAGAAGATTCGGTAGTGTTTGTTCATCCCATTTACGGGTCATGCAGAGGACCATAAATTGCCAGACGATAGGATCTTTATCGTTTAAACGGCTATCGCAAAGTGCTGCGAAACCCGCCCGTTTGTCTGATTACAGAGATCCGAGTACAAACCAGAAACCGAAAATAATTCCGACGCACCAGTCATGGTGTATAAAGTTTATTGCTTACTTTTGTCGTGACATTACATACAATTAACAACTTCGATGTCTCGTTACAAGATCCTTTCGACTGCCAGAAACAGCGCGTCTTCCGGGATTTATTAAGTGAACTTACTGTTAGGCATAAGATTTACAGCGTGACTAATTGCGTCGGCAATAAGTTCAGGAAATAAATGTAGCGTGGATTTTTTTTTCTCTCCTTTAGCTTTGGAACTTCATAAATAGCGGTGTATACTATTGCTTAACGAGGAGTTGAATAATACAGGTCCTCGCGAAATGACCAAAAGATCAGTTTTTATGTACGAAACGTTGGAACGGTTGGACGTGATAACGAACACATTATTTTCATCAACGCAGATTCATAATTGGATCGTAGATTTACGATTGTACTCAATTCTCAGGGTGGTCGTTTAGCCAGTCTTAATTGTCACTAACGCAATTAGATCCTATCGCGTGGTCATAATTCCGAGTAAAAATTGGAAAATTCGTGTAAAACTCCTAGCCCTAAATAATGACGCCTCCTTGTAAATAACTATTCTTCGTCGGTAAACATATCCCAAAAAAGTGATAGAAACGCTAACAAAATTATTGTCTTTTTAAAGACATAACTTACGAGATAAATTCCATTATTAAATTGATCCAATAATATACTCTTTAAATGTGTACCTCGATTAGGCTAACGATATTACGGGGTTTCCTCCCTTCTATATACAAGTGTCTTAATTAACAATCAAATTAGAAAATTCCGCATCGGTCGCTGTGCTCGTCTCACCGATTATCGCGTTTCTTGTCTCTCTAAGCTTACACTCTAATACGTGAGACTCATGTTACAAATAAGAGTAGCTTTGTACCTGCTTTGTTTATGTATAAATGCAAACTAGGGGTAAATAATGCCCGAATTACTTTGAATTTCAATCTGCAAGCGCAAGCTCTTCTCCTCCCTGATTTCCTTTAAAAATTCTACATTATATCACGAATAAGGCCGCACAGTTTCATTGCATAAATTCCTTGGACGTTCATTAAGAACGCAAACATTCGCCCGACAATTTCATAAAATTTTATCGAAAACGGAAGATCCAAAAGAAGACTCTCCGAGGAGAACTATGCGTGAAGAGTATTCTTGAAAGACGCGATGACTCAGTAGTCCTCTTTGCGACTGAAGCTTACGGGTATATGGCCCTGTTGCGTGGCACTCCTGATAACTTCCATCCACCTGAAACGAGAAAGGTATTCGGAAAATGAAAAACCCAGTAAAACGAGCCAACCCATGCCGTATGATAAGCAAATTTATCTCATACCTCCCGAACGTGTAATCGCTCTCCGCCCTGAAGAAGTACACGTGACTCTTGAACTGCAGCTTGAAGACGAAGTCCTTATTGATGCCGTCCTTCTCCGAAGGAGTCGACACGGCATATCCTAGGAGCGGTAAACTAGCCAACGGGAAGTCATCCTGATGAGACTTGTAGAAGAAGAGGCAGAAGTTCGTGAACACCACCCAGAGCTTCTGCCAACCGTTGCTGTTCTTGAACTTCCTCAGGAGAAAGCCACTGAGTTGGTTCTGAAAGGCATCGAAGAATGAAAAAAAATTCCCGGGGTCCGTGAAGGGATGAAAAAAAAATTCTATCCTGGATTACTTGAAACGCTCGGAGGTGATCGCTGTAGCTGATGCTCATGTTTCTGTGCCAGCATACATGGACGGTCGTGTTGCTGCGCTGCGAGGCTTTGGCTCCTCCGCAGCTCGTCCTATCGACCTCGAGGCCTATTCCGTCGGCAACTTCATCGGTCGAGCCTAAAACTTTCGTCGCGACCTTTTCAAGCAGGCCTTCGATAGTATCGGTGGCGAACGCGAACTTTGCACTCGTTACGGGAGCTACTTACTGCAAGACTTTAGACTTAGGTAGGGCGTCTTCCCGTCAGCCGTGTCGGCCTGCAGGATGGCCATGTTCAAGTCTTCCAGCCACCTTTCTTTTTCCTCCTCGTTGCTGGCCGCCACCGTCAAGGATCTGCCAACACCAGGGAACGTTAAAGTACCTCGGCCGAGGGCTTACCTCTAGGAGCTAAATTTATATCCGAAGAAAAAAAGGCAGCGCACTTTTCCACGGAGAGCTCAATCGATACCATCTCTTCGACTACTCCTACTTCAATTTCGCGAGCGTACTTATCTCCGTGCCACTTTTACAGCCACACCGACGGCTATATAATAAGTTAAACGCCCAATTGACCCCATCCACGACAGGGGACTTGCCCCATTAAACGATGCACTACATCATGGTCATGTTGGACCATACGATCCGTGCCCAGGCGACGTTTCTTCCCTTAACGGATGCCGGCGAGCGCATAAAACGACCTTAAGGTACGCACTGATTTCCCAGCCCGTAGATGACGAATGCGAAATCCGAGCCGGTCTTGTTGTCTCCGTCCTGGATCTTCATGCCTTTCAGGGGAAGCTGACCGTGCACCCGGAAGCACTGCGTCGGCTGCTGGGTGCGGAATGTGTACAACAATACATCGGAGAACTGAAAATTAAATAAATCAGTCTCCAGGTTGGCCTCTCGTTGGTGTTCCAAATCTCACCAGGAAGAACATCCTTTGCTGGAAGCCCTTCCGACTGTACTTTAGCAGGCATCCTTGCCTGATGAACCTGCGACCTTCCTGGACCAGGTTGTTGAAGCCGCTGATGTCTCTCTGCAGCTCGTACAACTGGACCAGGTTCTCCTGCGGCGAAATACCGATTGTCTCGTAGTTGGCTAATTCGGATTAATACACATTTACATCCTGGTGAACATCGACCTTACCGCTTGGTTCAGGACCGAGAGACCTTCCAGCAGCGTCTCGCCGAGCCTGTCTCTGGCTGCTAGGCAGTCTTCAAAATCGGTGTGGTCCTTCGGGTAATGGTCTAATAAACCTGGAAATTAAAAGTCAGGGCCATTAAAAGTCAGTCTAGCTTTAGGTCTCTTGTTGCGACTTACTATCGATAATACTGTTGTAATGCAAGAGCCGCTGCAAGGGCTTCAAAAGGAATGAGCTCAGCGGGAGGTAGCAGTGCTTCTGCGACTCAAAATCCCGGCAAAGCTGGTCGAATCGTTTCGAGGTTCGCATCGCGTATTCCATCTTCTCGACGGCGGGGATGAGGTTCTCCAGGTACTGGTCGTAAAGCGGAAGTACGTTCAGAAGAGTGTTGTAAAGGAAGTCGCCGATGTTGTGCCTGGCGTTGCTCTCCCAGCGGGCCAATCGAGCTTCCATTTCTTGAAGACAAGGACCATGGACGTCGGCCAAAAGCTCGATCAAAGTCACCACGGCCTCTCCTTCCGCTTCCGCCTCTCTCGACACCTCTTCTCTAAACCACTGAACGAAAATAAAAAGTAATAGAAATTTTTTAAACGCCCGTACAGGTGAATATCAACGGGTACTCACGACATTGATGACGTCCAGGTCCTTCTTGTACGTTCGCTCCGTCATGAGGAGTTCCTTGGCGATGTAGTAGGCCTTGTCGGTGGGCCATCTCTGAGGAAAAAAGATTGTTAAAAAAATCATTTCCCGGCTTATAATAAATTTTGGTCACCCACCTTCGTCTTCCGGATCTCCGCGTCGTCGACGTCCCCGTTCCTCATGTTTTTAATAGGACTGAGATCCGGGGTATTGACAATACTGACACTGCTGATATCGGCAACCCCATTGGCACGTTTCTCTGGCGTTTTCATGGCAGCGAAGACAGAATTGTTGTTCTTCTGCTTGGAAGGCAGGTCCTGCTTTTCCGTTTCCGTATCTGTTGGGAAGCGAGGAAGTGGCAGTAAGTATACAGGCATCCCAAATAGCGGATGAAGAGACGAACGATCAGAGAGTCCGAAATAAGGAGCACTTAAGGGAGACCAGGCAGAAATATATGCATGCTACCGTGTGTGGCAAACTTTGCGAATTACTTCCCGTCCTTCCAACCGGCGTTAAATAATTGCTCTCGCGTAGCCAGCTCCTCGAGCAGCGAGAAAACTTATGCGATTGTCCTACCTCGATCGCCCTTCGCGGAAGGAAAATTAATATGTACGATTAATAACACAGTCGCGACTCAAATTCGCCTAACGCATGCACGACGGTGCACATGCACGAAAGTGCATAATATTAATCGTTAACGAGGTAATCGTCTTCGTGCGAGAACATCGTGGTTTACGTGCTAAGACTTCCGTCCAAATGAAACGTTAATCGAGGCCATTTTCGTCGTTTATCGAATTTAAGTCGATCAGCTGATCCAGCTGATTTTCCATACACACCTCTGTAGGTGCACGACTTGTGCATTTTAAACAACATACGCTTAGAAATGATAGTTTAAACCACTGTGTAAAGTTACTGCGTGCTCGAGGTGTAGGATGGTCTCAAGAAATGTTAAAATATGAATTTCGCAACTATCAAGATGGCGCACCTAGTCTACGCACAACCGGTGCCAACATTGATGCACACAAACTTTACAAATTGTCATCTACGCCAAACGACGTGTTCTTGCAAAATGCCATTACATGCGTGTCACGACGATCGGGTGACGAAAGCTAACGTGCTGTGAGAGCTTTTTTCGAAACGGGGCTAAAAAGAGGTCTACGAGCTTGAAACTTCGGAGGGCCGAAAACTGCAGAGAAGCCTCCGGAGCAAAATAAAGGGAAAGAATAAGAAACTCTCGGTACTCGCAAATAAACATCATGTTACACCGAACTAAGTTCAAGGATGAGCCTGGAGGTACAATCCGGCGATTGAAATGACTCCTGAATTTTTCTCGATACTCCAAAAAGACTAGAAATTATCTCCCAATATATTACAATAAATTATTTCACATTTCATCGATATCTCGGACTCGACACGTCCAGGCTCACGATTTTTCTCGGTTCACTACAATGCTCGGTGTGTAACTCGAAACACTGAGAGAGAATTCACAGTCATATAGGTTTTTGTTCTTGGGAATTACTCACACATGGTATTGTCATCCAGCCGACCAACAATTCCGTGAGTGCGATTACAAAAAAAAATGTAAAAGGAGAACGTGGGAGAGAGAAATCAAAAAAGCCCCGAGAGTGGGTGGGGGGTGGATGGGGGGAATTTAATGCGCAAGGCGTCAAAAGAATAGTCATTGTATAATATAAAACGAGGAGTTCCGAAAAGAGATATACATATGTATTAGATATTTAAATATACATGTATACCCTCGTCAAGTGAGACAAACAAACCCAAGAGATAACGAACAAAATTGAAATTACTGACGCCCTGTGGGATGACTTTGTATATAATTTATTGTTATCATAATTATGTATCAATAATCAATGTACAATAGATTTCCTACGCTTGAATATCCGTTCTCTGTTTCTCTTCTGTTCTCTTTTTCTCTCTCTCTCTCTCTCTCCCTCTCATTCCCGTTTTTCTTTTTTCTCTTCGTCGTCCCTCCGTATCCGTTTTCCCCGCAAACGATCGCGGGGAAAACCGTTTAACCGGACAGAGTTAACAATCATTACGACATAATCGTTCACACGAGTTTTTACGAACGGAAGGAGGAAAGAAAAACAATGACCGGGCGATGCAATTTGCGGGCTTCGCGCGTTCATTACGTGCATTTTATTCACTAATAGTGTCTCCTTTCCCTGGCCTATCTTTCCTTTTTCTCTCCATTACGTATCAATCGTTTAAAACCCCTCGAAGGTTCCCAGATCTCGCTCTGAACAGCTTCCCCCAATCGAGATCGTGAGACCTCGGTTAAAAATGCGACCTCTCCTCGACGTAACGTCGTTACACGAATATAAGTTAACATGTAATGGGATTATATTCCGAAATGTGCTGCCAGTATTTGCGAGTACATGAAAATCAACCGGGGTGTAAACGGGAAGTAGATTAACATCCATCCTGACAACTGATTTCGGAATGTAATAATTAATGGTTAATCGTGAAGGCTTCATTTTCGCTCGTCGCACGAGTCTAATTAAACTATCCGGAAGCTGGCAACACATCATGAAAACTTTCCTTCCGGCAAGTCGTTGGCCATGTTCTAACGAAGGCACGACACTAAAATATGCGTTCCTCATTTCCATATCCATAAGTTGATTTTCCAAAAGAGGCGTTAAAATTCGTCCTGTCGGAATCGGCGCCGATTCGCGCCACTAACGCCGACAAGGGGAAGGTCTTCCCTGATAAATGGAAATTGATTTCCCTTTCGAGACTTCCCGATATCGAGGGGATTGTCTCCATTATCGGAAGAATAGATGAATAAACACGAAGTAAGACCCAGGAAGAGGCGAAATCGATTTCGATGAATCAGCAGCGAAGACCCCCCGCGAGTTGTCTCAAAAAATCCGAGATATATAAAATACGGCATGCAGTTTTCCGGAAAAGGGGGTCCAATGTATCTAAATACGTGACTATATGGTTATGGTGTGGAGGAAAACGAAAAAAAAAGAAAAGAAAAATAAGAAACACTATACAGTCGTTTCTCGAGCGCTCTTCAACGGATATATCGGCAGGTGGTGATTATTCGTCCAAATATAAAAGCAGGCAAAATTCGCCATTATTAATCCCAGGAGATGGTCCGCGCTGGAAGACGCGAGGTTCTCTCACAAAGGATTCTCGTAGAAAGGACGTGACAACATTTAGAAACACGTCGGCGCGGATTTTTATCAGTCCGGGTGAGACCACTTTCGGAAGACAAGGGGCGAAATTTCAACGACTAACGTTAATCGCATCGTCCTCCATTACACGTATTAAAAAAAAAAAAGAACAGAACGAGGGTCGCGAAAGACGCGAAAAGTGGAACACCCTCAAAAAGACACTTCCTTATATTTGAATCGGAGCCTCTCATGCAAAAGAGCATTCAACGCGCGAATTTCGAAAGGAGCTTTCAACCCTCTCCCGTACGAAATTCGCGTTTCCAAAACGCAATCAAAAGTGCCCTCGTAAAAAGTCTCGATAAAAAACCTCCACTGCGTCCGAGAACCGCAAACATGGACGCTGCGTATCAAAATGTCGATAAAAATCATGGAAGTGCTCCCGTAACTATTTTCCACGTACGAATGATTGCGCTGGGGTCATGCAAAACCATTTCACGAACTCGAATGTAATTCCGGTAATACGCTTTTCGTAATTCAGTGCTCTGATTATTATTATTTTTTTTTTCGAGCCCGGGGATTAATTTCCGGAATCGGGCAATTTTTCTCTCGACGGTCTGATAATTCGCGGCACACCTAAGGTTGCTAAAAAAAGGTGTATATGTATAGATATATATAAACGTGTAGTAAATGTGCAACAACGGGAGTCTCTTATCGGTGACCTGGAAGAACGGCTACGTTAAGAATGGAGTAAACGGGGGCTGGATAACTAGGATCCTAGAGATCTCGATGGAAAATGGGAGGAGGGCAGACATCGAGACAAGGGGGTGAAAAATCCGACAAAAGTGTCGGGGGACGTCTGGGAATTTTTTCCCGAACAACGGGACGAGGTATGCAGCCCTTGGCACCCTGACAGCTAGTGCACCGGTGCAATGAGAGTGTATCCACCGGAAGGAGATAAAAATACGCCAATAACAGGGGATTCCCTTTGCCCGGCGACTGCATCCGTCGTCCGCGTCGGGTCTCTGAAAAAAAAAAAAAAATGGAAAAGAACGAGGAGAAATTAAGAGAACCGGTGACGGAGACGAGTGGAGATCTAGCCAACGGTCCCATGACACATGACACGAATGGCAGTGATTCAATATAGATATACGTGTATATAAATCCATCGGATGGTTTACGTGTGTATAGGGTCGCTACGTAATGGTTCACAGGCGGTAGTAAATATTCATGTAATATATATATACATATGCGTATATAACTTGTAAATGCGGGGAGGCGCGGTACCACACAACACAGGAGAAGACAGGACTGGTGCACAGGGACGAACATGAATGCCTTTATTGCAGATACGGTGCCGCTAACGTACTGTGGGAAGGCGTTCATGTCCGCCACTGTACACTCCGACGTGAGCGCGTACAAGGGCGGAAAAGAAATAAAAAAAAAGAGAGAGAGACAGACAGTGGCGGATCAATCTCCGAAAAGGTACAGAGGGGATAGGTAAAATATAGTGCTGCACCGAGAAGAAAGAAAAAAAAAGAAAAGTGCCCCGAGGTGGTCCCGAACCCTCGCCCTCTGGTCCCGGGGCGAAAGTTGCAGTTACTCGTAAAACGCTGATTTACGACGCATTTTTTAAATCGTCACCTTTTCGAGTAACTGGAGTAATTTTCTTTTTTCTCGGTGCTAAGGTGCAGCGAAACGCACGTGGCGCGAAGCTATGGCTACAGCAACTAAACAGGCTCGTGAAAGTGATAGACGCAGGAGGGAATAAAAAATGATACAAAAAAATACGACGAATCTTAACTCCGCGTCCTCGAGGTGGGAGAGCCTTTTCCGTAGGTGTCGGAAAACGCCCTCGCACTTTCCAGGACACTTTTTCGCGCCTAACGCGGACAGGAAGTTTCTTCATCGAGATATATCGGAGTGTCTCCTTATCACAAGCGTGCGAAACACGAGGAAGGATCGCCCCCTCTTTTTGGCACTTAAATGGTCCTCGTCTCGAAGCGACGTCTAAACCCAGACAAGAGAAGGAAAATACCTAATATCGATAGAAACTTTATAAAAGACTATACATTTATCATAGATTCCGAACAAACCCCGCCTCGCGGGGGGGCGGGAGCGAAAACGATTCGACGATCCACCCGATCGATCTACTCGACTTCGATCGGCCTCTGGAGTCGCTAACCGGCTACAGTAT